TTTGGTATTAGAGTCAATTTTCATGTGTTGGCTGTTGGGATAGAGTTAGAATTCTGACATTTAATATTTCGATAACAAATGGTATCTGTATTTGAGATTAGGCCACCGCCTTTTAAGAGTGCGTCCTATATTTGTACAAAAAGTACTAAATTTGGTATTTAGTGAAGGGATAGAGCTGAAATTCTGAAATGTTAAATTGCGGTAAATGTTCTTGTCTAGGACTGAGATATAGAACGGGTTTGAAAAAGAGTACTAAAATTATACGAAATGTACTAAATGTTACTAAATTTGGTAGTGAGTGAATATATACATCTGGAATCCTAAATTTTGATTTTGAGGTATGTGTTGGTAGCTTTGTGGTAATTTTGTAAATTATACGAAAAGTACTACATAGTACTATGTTTGGAACAATTTGGTTTTGGGTTAACAGATAGCACTTGAAATCTGAAATTTGGTATTATTTTCGAAAATGTGTACTATTATGGTACGAAATGTACTGGATGATACTCTATTTGGTATCGAGTTAAGGAATAGAGTTAAAATTCTGAAATTTGATATTTACATTACTGGATGATATCTATATTTCAGATTAGGCGGTGGTTTTAGAAATACGTCCTATTTTTGTACGAAAAGTACTAAATGATACTAAATTGAGTAAAGGGATAGAGCTGAAATTCTGAAGTGTTATATTGCGATAAATGTTTTTGTCTAGGTCTGAGATATAGAACGGGTTTGAAAATGAGTACTTAAATTTCACGAAATGTACTAAATGTTACTACATTTAGTAGAGAGTGAAAATATAAATCTGGAATGCCAAAATTTGATATTGAGGTCTATGTTGGTAGCTTGAAGTAATTTTGTAAATTATATGACAAGTACTAAATAGTACTATGTTTGGAACAATTTGGTATTGAGTTAACAGAAAGCACTTGAAATCTGAAATTTGGTATTAGGGACCTGTATCTTGGAGGTGATTTCGGAAATATGTACTATAATTGCACGAAAAATACTGAATGGTACTATGTTTGCTATTGGGTGTAGGAACACAGTTAAAATTCAGAAATTTCATGTTTGGATTGCTGATGGTATCTGTATCTGAGATTTGGAGGTGGTTTGGAAAGGCGTACTATAATTGTACTGAATGGTACTCTATTTGGTATTGGGAGAATGAACAGAGTTAATATTCTGTAATTTGATATTAAGGTCGATGTTGGTATCTGGGATTGTGTTATGGAGGTGTTTTTGGAAATGAATACTAACATTTCACAAAAAAGTACTAAATAGTACTAAATTTGGTATTAGTAGATGGAATAGAGCTGAAGTCCTGAAATGTTATGTGGGTGTCACTGTTGGTGCCTGTGGTTGGGAGAAGGATATGGTTTTTGATACGCGTACTATATTTGTATTAAATAGTACTAAATTTAAAGAGCTGAAATCCTGAAACTTGATTTTGAGGTCATTGTTGGTATTTGGTGTTGATACTTGGAAGTGGTTTCGTACGAAGTGTAATCGTACGAAAAGTTGTAAAAAGTACAGATTTTTCAAATGCGTACTATAATTGTTCGAAAAGTACTAAATGGTGCTAATTTTGGTACTGGGTGAAGGAATATAGCTTAAATTCTAAAATTTTATATTGGGATCTCTCTTGAAATCTGGAATTGAGATATCGAGGTTGTTTTGGAAATTGTGCGAAAAGTACTGCTGTGGTTTAGATATGGAGGTAGTTTTGGAAATGTGTTCTATAACTGTACGAAAAGTACCAAATTTGGTATTGAGCGAAGGAAGGTCCAGGGAAATTTAAGGCCGAATTTTAGAATAGGTACTGTCCCTTTTATTATTCATTATTAAAGGTATGGAAATATGGTCCAAATTTTAGGGACTTCAAGATCATTTCTTTTTGCATTTTTGGTCAAATTATGGTATAGCCTTCGCAGAATGGTAGCTCCCAAACGAGCGGCATTTTGAAAGTCCTGCCACATGTTTCAACTGACGAAAGTATAATTCAGTAATTTTGCAGATTTTGACATAAATTAAAGAGGGGAGAACTTGCCCCCGCTATTAAAGTTAACTTGGATTCCTGGCGTTAGATGTGGTAAGATGTGGAGTCTTCATGCCTTCAAGGACCTATGGTAGAATTTTATGACAAATAATTTTATGGATTATTTTGACTTTTTATGATTTCGTTTAAGCGGAGTTTTTAACAGTCTTTTAAAAAAATGGCCAAAAAGATCGCATTTTCGGTTCAATTAAGGGTTAACATAGCCCTCGTATTCTTGTCTGCAATATTGCCAAAGGCACTATATATTTATAATTCACGAATTCCGAATAATCTTGATCCGAAAATTTCCATAAGTATGGAAGAGGGGGATTTTGTCCTCTCAATTTTTTACGTTACTTTGAACTCCTGGCGTTGAGGTAAGATTTGGAGTCTTGATGTCTTCTAGAACCTTTAGTAAAACTTTATGTCAAATATTTTTTAGAATATTTTGACTGGTTACGATACCATTTAAAGGGAGTTGTTAACCATATTTCCAAAAGAGGACCAAAAAGAGCCGTTTTTTACTCGCTTTAGGGTTGATGTTTTCAACCAAAATACTACTCGTATTTTTATCCGAAGACACAATATACCTATAATCAATGGTTCCCAAGAATTTTTAATCCGAAAATTTTCAAAGATATGCCAAAGGGAGGGAGGTGGTGTGGGATAAGCCTTAGGTTAATTTTTGATATAAAAGTTCAAAACGCCTCTATACGTGTCTTCTTTTTCGTTACCTATACTTTCATCATCATATTTTTCCCCGTAGTAATTTTTGTGCTGCACAGTGTATGTAATTTGAGTTTTTACTTGGTTAAGGTTATAATAAGTTTGACCCGACAAAGGTCACAAAAAATTTTGGAATTTTGGGTGACTCAATCTCAACCTTTTAGTGAAATTATTTCCGCTTAATGTTAGGCAAATTTCACTCAGCATTTGTTTTCAATATTTTCTCTAATTTGTATACCCTACAACACTATGTGTTGGGGGTATTACAAGTTTGATTGGGCCAGAATTTATGTAACACCTCGAAATATTGGTTTCCAATATAGGAAAGTATATATGGATCTTCCTAGCTCGCCGAGCTGAGTCGATCTAGCTATGTATGTCCGTCCGTCCGTTTGTCCGTCTGTCCATGTTAATTTGTAATCACGCTACAGGTCGCAATTATGGCCCGATCCTAACGAAATTTTGCACGAAGGTGGGGTTAGAGTCAGAATAGAAGCCTATTTCTTTTGGAGATGATCGCCAAATGTTTAGGGGTTGAAATGGACCAAATACTGAAAAAATGTCGAATTTTGCAGTAGCTATACAGGTCGCAATTATAGACCAATCGACGCGGAATTTCGCATGTAGTTAGAGTTTAAGGCGGGGAAGAAGCCTTCCAATTTGGGTGGTCATCGGATAATATTTAGCGGGTAAAATAGACCATATCTTTTGTGTTGAAAAAAATCAACATTTTTCATTAAACCGCGAATATTTTAAATCCCGGCGAAATCACAAAGCCATGACAAGGTTACTTCTGATCTTTACATTGATGTTAACATCCAAGAAATCAGATTTATAGCAAAATATGTGCGATATATATGTTTATCAAAGAAGATATGCTTGAAAAATCTCTTATATGTCGAGAACGGCTGAACTGATTTCGACAGTTTTCATTAATTCAGAATGGCCTCTTGGCAGGAAAGAAAAAACGTCTAAAAAATCGCATAAAAATATCTCTCTAAAGATGAAAATATTGATTTTGTAAAATTTTCTCATATTTTTTCAATTTTGTCATATTTTTGGCATATTTTCATTTTGAATTAAACATTTGGTAATATTTCTACAGCTAACAAAAGTAAGTAGTTAGGATATCAGGATATCATATACAGATCGCATTTATGGCCCGATCCTAACGAAATTTTGCATGGGGATCAGATGAGGGTCAGAATAGAAGCCTACTCTTTTTGGAGATGATCGCCATATATTTGAAATGGACCAAAAAAACTGCAAAATTGTCAGCAGGTCGTAATTATTGCCCGATCCTCACGCACATTTGAATGGGGGTTACCGGGCATGGCAAAAGCCAAGCAGTTTCGGATGGCCATCTGAAAATATTCAATGTGTGAAATAGTTTGCCAACTTTTGTAGACAAAATACGAAAATGTCCATTCCAGTGACTTTTTGGAGAATTCACAAATGCAGGAAAGACACACTTCTGATAATTTCGTTAACGGTGAATTCGTTGAAGAATGTAGTCACATGTCTGTATCTCATGTAGATGCGTTTTAGTCAAAAACCAATAATAAATGTTAATCTTTTGCCACTTCTGAGAGATTATAGGTCTTTGGGAAATATTGGTTCCAGATCTAGGAAGACCATTTACGTGCAACATCTACCAATAAATTGGAAATGAGCAAATTCGTTTAAGTTGCTATTATTCGAAAATTAGATAACGAAACCTGATGGTTTTCATTTATTATTTGTCACAATATCTTGTGGAATTCTTTCGAGTATTTCGCCTATATAGACTGTATCGTTTATTATAGTGTTGTAGGGGATTCAACGGTCGGCCCCGCTCGACTGTAGCCTTTGCTTACTTGTTTTTTATTTTATTAGTTTCAAAATCGCTTGTTTTTTAGTTTCAAAATCGCTTGTTTTTTAGTTTCAAATTCGCTTGAACAAGGTGCATAAATCTGCCTAAAAAAATCCTGTTTCACTTATTTCAAATATCCACGAATTTCAGACCTACCTATGCCTACCATTTGTTGAATATACACTTTTTCCCTCATACTCTATAAAAACGTAAAATCTCGATTTTCTATCAATAGCATTGTTAAAGTTTGGAATCATGCAACAATTTTCTTATGTGTAAATGAAGGCGAATTCAAATTACAACATTTTTTTGACACATCAAATGTCTAGTTTTCAAAACAAATAAATATATTGACAAATAAATACGAAAAATTGTTCCTCTTACCTTTGGATCCAATATTGAGCGCTCCAAACTATCCTCGCGATTCAGTGTGTTGATGTTGCTGCCACAGCTGCCATTCAAATTTCCGCTTTGCTGCTGCTGCTGAGCGGATGCTTCCAAACGAAGCCGGGCACGTTCTACACGTGCCAATGTTGGACTATCCAAAATCGAGGGAGCACGTGAGGGTGGACGTGAATTTAAATTAGCGGACAAGTGCTGCTGATGAACCTGTGTATAGGATTGGGCGGACGAGGAAGCCGAAACCGATGAAGAGGATGCATGGCTATCACGTTGATGTTGGTGTTGCTGCTGCTGTTGCAAATGTTGATGCAATTGCGATGAGGAAGAGTTTGTGGATATGGTATGGGCTGGTTCCAGGGTATTGCTGGTCGAAGAACTGGAACCTGGGGTGGGTGTGGAGGCCGTTGTGGTGGAGTTAACCAACATTTTGATTTTTTAGGGGTCCGAACACAGGGGTGAGGCAAAAAGGGACTATTTTTTCAAAACTATTTTGAATTTGATTTTTTTTGGTAAGTTGTTGTTATTGTTATTTTTTTATTGTTGTTGTTGTGGCCTATATTAAATCACGTTTTTTGTTGCTGCGTCTTGGCCCTTGTTTCGGAATTCGGCTTCTTGTTTGACATTTAAGGCTGTTGTTACTATTTTTTTTCAAACTCGCTCTCAATTCAAGTGCTTTATTTTGTTAAAGACCGGTTTTTGTTGTTGTTTTTCTTTTGCTCACGTTATGTTTATTGTTGTTATTGTTAAATTTCAAAATTATGGTTTGCCGTTTGGGAAGCAGGGAAGAAGACTATTTCAATATCTTTTTTTTTCGGAAACTTTTTTCAAGGACTGGCCGACTGGCTATTTTTCATGACCACTCCTTGGGGGACCTTCTCTTTTTGCAATTATTTTTTTTTCGATTTTTTTCTTTTTTTCCCTCATTCGTAGTAGCCGGCCAAGTTAAATTGGTTTGATTATGCCGGTGTTATTTGAGTAAAGTGTCAAAATCGAAAAAAGGAAATTGAGAATTCCAGTCGTGTTTCAGAATTTTTGCGGATGGTTGGCAAAAGTAAAGACACTTTGGTGAGGTTTTGGTATTCAATATTTAATTGGTTTTAAAATTGTATTTTTTCAAGAATTTTTTTTTTTTCAACACAAAAACACCTTCAAATAACCGGTTTTTATTTTCAATATTTTTTTTTATTATTTTTCTTTAATTGGAAATTTCTTTCATTTTCAATAACTTTTCACAAAAGAAATTTTTCTTATAAAATTTTTTTTTCAATTAGAAAAAAATTACTCTAATTTATTTCAAATTGGCAGATAAGTATTCACAATAAATCCAAATTCGGTTTCGTTGGGCTCCACAAAAAGAAATAATTTCGATGCACTTCCAAAGTCGTATTTGGTCGCCGCCACCGCCACTTACGCATTCACGGCGCAAAACGTGCTCTCGCATTCAATTAAATTTTCCGATTGAAAATTCCAAAGTCAGCGCTAATGGATTTTTCTCAGTTTTTCAACATTGCATTCATGATATATTTCATTTCATTATTTGTTGCCGCAAAGAAAGAACATGTTTGAATCGCACACACTCCGGCATGCATGGGGCAAATAAACTTTTTGAATTTTTTTCTTATTCAGATTGAAAAACAAAAAAACACACAAGTCTACTCTCCTCCCAATTGGATGGAAATTCGAATTCGTAACGACCGTATTCGCTTGCTGTCCGTAATAAACTAAAGCAGTAGCCAGAGGCCGCTAGTTGGAGCGTACATTTTGCGAAAACAGGTTTCTGTTTGACCGAACGACGACGACACGCAACTCGAACCCCAACGAACACAAAACAATGTGAATTGCAAACAAAACACACTTACATGAGGAGAGAGAGAGAGAGAAAAGGAAAAAACAATCTCAAAGATAATGTATCGGCATGCCAGACAACAGAGGCCGCAATCCATGAGATACAAAACAAACGCTTTGTCGTTCAAACCCAATGTAAACAATGTGGGTATGAGAGCATATTTCCCATTATCTCCATCCATTCAAACAGGTTTGATGAGGGAACGGAGTGCTCAATTGGTCTCATTTGTTTGAATGGTATTTATTTTTCTTTGGTTGGTTGGATTGAATTTCCCCCTATTTTCTTTGTTATGGGATATTTTGTGTGTGTTTGTGGTATTTTGGTTGTTTACGTTTTGCAACAAACAAAAGTATCTTGGTAATGCAAGTGGGTGCGCAGCAAGTTGTATGTTGTTGGGTGAACAGTGGTTTAACAAATATTATGACGGAAGTCTCGATTGATCATTACTCTTTAAAATAAAAGAATAAACTTTACTCTTTAAAACAAAAGAATTTAACAAAAAGATAAACAGGAGTTTAAAGATAAAGATACAAGTTTTTTACACCATTAGCCTACGGAGGGTATAAATAAATTTGATACTAATTAAAATAACAATTTTATACCCTAGGTCTCGTTGGACCAAATGTATTTCAGGACATTTTAACACGATCTAGCGATGTCCGCCCTTCCGTCTGGGTGGTACGCACGATATCTATCGAAGGCAGTATCCGATTTAGTCCAAACTTGGTACATTGTAATATTATTGTCAAACTTAGATCAAGTTCGTAGATGGGCAACATCAGTTCCCTTCTTCTGGTACCTCCACCACAAAAATTCATCATTTTCAAAGGAAATAATTTACTTCGCAAAATAAACAAAAAAAAAAAAAACAAGTTAAAAAGCAGTCAGTTCGGCCGGGCCGAACTTTGAATACCCTCCACCATTTAGAACGAATTTGGAGATTTTCAAAAAATAAAATCCTCTAAAATTCTGTTAAAATCTTAAAAATACCGAATATAGACGTTATATTGGGGTTTATACGACGTGGACCTACATTGTAAATTCGAAACTTGAATAAAATGGTGAATAATGTAGCTTAAATCGTCAAAATACCGTACATAGGGAGGTACTGATATATGGGGCCTATACGAAGACTGAGACATGCATAGACAATTTCCTATCACAGGCTGCAGCTTCCATTACAAACTTTAAATACGTAATTTGAAACTACTCCGACGAATAATGACGCTAAAATCATCAAAATACCGAATATCGGAAGGTACCCTTATATGGGGGCTATACGACGACGTGTACCTGCACAGACAATTTTCTGTCTTAGGCTGAAATATCCATTACGAACTTCAAATACTAAATTTGAAAAAATTCCGGTGAATAATGTCGCTAAAATCATCAAAATATCGAATATAGGGAGGTACTAATATATGGGGGCTATACGAAGGCGTGGACCTGCACATACAATATCCTGTCATAGGTTTATTACGAACATCAAATACCAAACTTGAAACAATTCCGGTGAATAATGTCGCTAAAATTATCAAAATACCGAATATCGTAATATCGAACATTTTAGCCTTCTACCTCAATTCGTTCGAAAGATAGCGAGATTACAACAGACAAACGGACATTGCTAGATCGACTTAGAATTTTACGCTGCTCAAGAATATATATACCTTGTTTGGTCTGACATGAGCATTTCGAGGAGTTACAAACGGAATGACAAAGGCCCACCCAGTTTTGCTCAAACTTGGCAAATTCCAATATTTTTGTCAGTGCAGTGTCTTGACAACATCGGTCCACTCCGTCAAGCACTTCCCCACAAGGGGTCAAGTTTTTGAAAGTTATATCTCTCATAAAATACAAAATAAGCATCCGATTCCCATCAAATTTCACACACCTCAATATGGGATATATCGGTCAACTCTTTCTAGTACCTTACTTATAAAGGGTCAAATTTTTGAATAACCGAAACGCTCACAAAATGTAATATAAGATTCCGGTGCATTCTTCCCATTCTCATGAAATTTCACACACCTTAATATTTCTACTAATACAAGATCCGTTGTGAAGATTCTATATATCGGACTTCTCCTTCTAGTATCTCCCCACAAAGGGTGTCAGAATTGTAAATAACAAAACACTCATAAAATGCGAAATACGCCTCCGATTCTCTTCAAATTTTACATATCCCAATATATTTACTATTGAATGATACCAAAGGGCCCACCCCTCTGGTACCTCCACCAAAAATTTTTATATTTATATTTTTCAACCAGATATCTCATGTGGATATGGAATGTATCGGCCATCTTGTGCTCCTTCCCCACAAAAGGTTAAATTTTTGATTAACGCGATATCACGCCTATGCGATATTCCGAATTATTGTAATGCCAACATGTGCTCAAATACCGTAGTTGCAGCGCACTTCTTACGACTTGCAACTGAGAGAAAATATCCTATGGCTAAAGGATTAGCATCACATGTGATGCAGATTGAAGAGTGCCCTTAAGAACCTCCTTAAGTTGCCAGTAAGGATGTGGTTATTTGCACGGTGCCTGGACTTCATGCCACAAGCTCCCATAAATCAGAACAGGTAAGACCATTGTGACGTACACCTAATGTATGACTTGTGGTCTGAGCCTTCTGCTCTTCCCCAAAGTTCCTGTCCCAGCTCACACGCTGGTCCAGAATCATATATAGAGATATTTGGCGCTCAAAGGAAGATCTAGTGTCATCCCATTCTGTACTGGCCACTGCCCTACAACTATGCCATCGGCCTAGGAGTCATTCTTTAATTCTTAGTAGGTCTAAACTCACTCTCACATTTCATTTAATACTGGAAGAACAGGCGTACCCCTGCTGAGAGCTCTCCTAATGGAACTCTCCTAGGTGACATTCTTAAATTATTAGTAGGTCTAAACTCACTCTCACATTTCATTTAATACAAGAGGACAAGGCGTACCCCTTCCGACAGCTCTCCTAATGGAACTCCCTCCCATGCTTGAATTTACTGTCGTGCTATTTAGCATTCTATTAATAATTCAATCAGGATAGACGAAATACCAGAGTCATAGAGAGCATCTCATTGTTGATTGGCGCCTCTATATTGAAAAGATCTGCCAATGTGAATTTGGAGTTTTCCATATTCTTCTCAATATATCCGACAAATTCTTGTAAATCAGTCTCTACTGATCGAATTTTGACATAAGTATGCGACGATGTACTTAATGTAAAATAATTTTTCTTTGAACGAACCTTTTTAATCGGTCTGTAGTATTTGGGCAATGTGTGATTAGGTTCCTCATCTTTTAGGAATATAGGTCACAATTACCAAGACAAGCCTTTAAGATTTCCTTACAAATAGTCAACACCTATTCAGATGCATTTTGCAAAATTGCCAGTATTATAAAATCAGGACATCGGAACTTTAAGCATTAAATGATTGTGATTGCGAAGTGAACATGCTGTGAGTATAGATTTGGGGTCCTGCAACAGTATTTTAAGAAATTGAACAGCTTTAGTACACATTTCCAAACCCACCTTCATATCTCAACGTCAAATTCAAAATGTGTATCTCTATTTCTTGAACCAAGACCAAATTTAGTACTTTTTGTACAACTATAATACACATTTCGAAACCACTTCCATATCTTAACAATAAACACCAACAGTGTAATCTATATCAAATATCAGGATTTCTGTTCTATTCATTCACCCATTATCAAATACAGTACTTTTGGTACAATTATATCACATATTTCCGAAATCGCCTCGACATGCTCAGACTACACATTAACAGCGATCCTAATACTGAATTTTGAATTAAGCTCTATCTGTTCACCTAATACCAAATTGTAGCAAATATAGTAATATTTAGTACTTTTCGTGCACTTGGAGTACACATTTGAGAATTCACATCTTTATCATAAACCTACCAGCAACAGCGACCCCAACACAAAATTTCAAAGTTCGAGCTCCATCCATTCACTATAAACCAAGCATTTCTAAATTTAGTACCATTGAGTGCAGTTTGCACACTTAGTACACATTTCCAAGACCACCTTCACTTATAAAGCCTATTTTCCAATTTGATTCTCATACCAAATTTCAAGCTTGAGTCTTTAGCATTGACTTATTTATTGAAAATCAACTCGCAGACGAAACACCTGAAGCTAGAACATTAAAATTTTCGGTGAGGGTCACTCTTGGAGTTGGAATCCTGAAATTTGAAAATAAGGTTTCTGTTGCACTGTATGATGTAGATAATTATCAAAATTTGTACTTAAGTGCACTAAATTTGGTACAATTTGGATTTGGGTGAACCATTAGAGGTTACTGAAAATTTGAAATAAGATAACTGTCGGAG